GGAAGAGAGAGAGAGAGCGACGAGCGAGAGAGAGAGAGAGAGAGCGAGAGAGGAGAGACGCAGCGAGCCGAGAGAGCGCGATAGCGAGGAGATCTTGAGAGCGAGGCCCGAGAGGGCGCTAGGAGATAGAGAGATATCGGGCCCGTTTGGCGGCATTGGCCAAATTATGTTTTCATTTTGCTATTCGAGGACCTAACATGACCAATAAGAGCAATGCAAAACCACGCTATTTTCACCATGTTCAGCGGTAGTAACGTGAAATGGATCAAGATGTGAGGACACAGGAAAAGTCACCGTTGACTTTTTGCTTTTCCCATTTCACTCACGCTGAAATGAAGGCTTACTTGTTAGTCTTTTGACATACTTCATGTTCTCACTCAATGACGAAAAGCGTTGGTTCCGTTTAACCGGTACAGTTACTCAACGTCATAAAACCCAGGTGAAAAGTTAAATCAAGCGGTGATCAACGTCTTCTGAAATTTTGCCATTCAAAGTGGTTCAAAAATCAAAACAGTAAAGCATTTGACCGAGCCTCGCTGAGAGCATTCATTACAAATATCGCGTTTCCCGCTGACAGTGAGCACTGCCCGCCCATCCTTGGACGCACATATGTACAAACACGGGAGGGGGAGGGGGAGGGGGCTTAAATTGTCCACCGTTCTGAACGTTAGATGTACCACATTTAGTGGTGCTAGGATAGAATAACCTTAAAGTAAATCTCAAAATTACCAGATAGTTCTTTTAAGTTTTCTCTTTCTATACACCACCAAAGTTGCAATGTCGAACTTAAGTGGGCAGACCATGGCCTCCCCTCCCCGGTCCACCACCTCCGGTCGAAGGATGAACATAAAGTGTTCACTCCCAACAGGACAGTGTAAAGGGGGGGGGGGGGGCACAGGGGACATGCCTTCCTTGAGCCAACATGTTTGTCCCAGATACTGAGTGATTTGTTGCAGGAGTTTGGCCTGAATCCGCAGGAGGCCTGAGAAAATTTGTATTTTGCCCTCCAAACAAATTCTGGCTACCGTACAACATGCTTGACGTCCAACGGAAAACGCTGGAATTGTGACCATGTCACGTCCTCGCACCGTTTTACAAACACTTGTCTCGGGGCCTCAGATTAAAGGACACGCGCCGTCTGATTCTCCCGAGCGCGCCGCAGTCCCCGTACCGCCGTTTCCGCCTTATGAAAGGCCGTCGTCCTCGTCACGACGAGCCGCCGCTCCCAAAATAGCCGGCTCGTTCATCACGTCGACAGAGCGCGTGCAGGGGCGGCCGGCGGTTCAAGGAGCACGGCCAGGTGCTGGTCACGCCCTGTAGACCAACCGCGTGACGTCACGAGACGGATAAAGCTCACGTGGGGCAGAATGGCCGGACTGAAAGGATGCGCAAGGAAGCGCGCGGGTCCCGCCTTCATAGCCTCGGCGCGGTTTTTTCGGTGACGAGGGTGGCAGTGCCGGCCGTCAGGTCCAGGCGGTCCCTCATGCATTTCGTAAATGACAGAATGAAATTAATCGAGTGTGCAAGAGAGAAGATGACAGTCTGGTGTGGGCAAGCGCACGGCCGCGAATGCAGGTAGTGCGATCACGAGAAGGTTTGGTGCTATAAAACCGCGGTGGCCCGTGACGTAGCGTCATCAGCTCAGTTCCAGACCACATCGGATTACCGGTTCTGGATGGTTCTGGACTGTGACACTGACGCTGACAGCGATACCAGGACTGTAAGACTGACCGTGGAGCCATAAGACCGAAACTGTGGGACGGCGAGAAGCAGCGCTGACAGTGGACCGTCCTTACCCGGGCGACTATCCGCAGTGACGTGGATCGCGCCGGCGCCGCTACAAACGACGGGCCTGCTTTGGTCACAGGATGTGCGCTGCGCCAATGGCGGACATGCGCCACACTGATGGTGGACCTGGGTCGCGCCGGTGGCGGACGTGCGCCACATCGATGACGGGCGTGCACCACACCCATGGCAGATGTGCGCCACATCGATGGAGGATGTGCACCGCGCCAATGACGGGCGTGCGCCGCGTCAATGACGGAATTGTACCGCACCAATGACGGACGTGCGCCACGCCGAAGACGGACATGCGCTATGCCAATGACGGACGTGCGCTGCGTCAATGACGGAATTGTACCACACCGATGACGGACGTGCGCCACGCCGAAGACGGACGTGCGCCATGCCAATGACGGACGTGCGCTGCGTCAATGACGGAATTGTACCGCACCAACGACGGACGTACGGCACGCCGAAGACGGACGTGCACCACGCCAATGACGGGCGTACGCCGCGTCAATGACGGAATTGTACCACACCGATGACGGACGTGCGCCACGCCGAAGACGGGCGTGCGCCATGTTTCGTCCGTGTCGGCGACCGACGCCGCGATACTTGGCATCCGCTTCCGTGGCCTCATTATCGCGGCGGCAGTCGTGGTGCAGGTCATGACACGTGCGTCAGTGGGGCGCGCAGCCCCCGCGTCCGGATCGAGGGCGCACCGGGGCAGCTGGGTCCAGATGGTCGCCGAGAGATGTGATATAACCTGGACAGGCGTTGGAATGAATGCCTGCGCTTACCAGTGCGTTGGTTTCAGTTCCAAAAATCACAGATGTGGATAGTGCTCATGTCATGACAAGGGAGGTCCAAATGAGCTTGACGATCTGTATTTTGGAGTTGAAGTGAACGCTATGCGTTGTCTTGAACACCAAAAGGTGGCAAGATGTGAAAAACCTTCAAGATGTAAATAAGAAAAGCTCCAAGGTGTTTCCTTTTTTATTATCACATTTGACTACAAGTTTGGCTGTGTCGAATTAATTTTGCTTGATCTATGGTATGATTTTTAATCTGAGCGGTCCGACCAGGCCCGGCCATCACTCACAATAGAAGTAAATATCTTTGAAACCACTCATAGCAGGTCCATACAGTTATCGGTGGCAAGCAGCGCAATGCCTGGCAAAATGGACTGCATAAATTGTCAAGCACTGGAAGGCTAGCTGTTTGATCGGACAGGTCTGTAATATTCGCACAATTTCACCATACCATTTGAACAACGTGGAAAAGGCAAAACATTCCGATCGACGGAAATTTGAAGAGCACTGGTCGAACCCAGGTCCAGATGCCGGCTCGCCGGCGTGGTATCGGCACGAGACTATGTAAGATTAACGGAGGAGAAAAAAGTCAACGGTACCGGGAAAATGACAAAAAGTAAAAAATAATAGAGAAATTGGTGCCAGAATTTGGCAACTAAATCATACGCAAACGTGACACCAACCGCACGATTTCGGCGAATACACCGGCTAAAAATTATTAACATATTTCAATGCTCTCAGATCGCGGTTGTGCCTGAATCGCCTGGAAAACGGTCAGTATCAGCTGTTATGAACGCGATATCGAATACCAGATTGATTAGACACACTGACATTGCCTGCAGACGTTGTCTGGCTTCACTACCTTTGTATTTCATATTCTCCACGCAATACCAACTATCAACTCCAAATGTTTTTGTCACCTTGTTCGTCTTAAGCCGTATCACGCAACTTGTGGGCAATAATACCTCATCTAACCGCAGTAAGCAATATAACCGACAGAACCAGCACTTTCGACACTTCGTCACGAAAAGTCACCGTGGTTGGTGTCTCCTGTTTCCGAGGAGAAACCGGCCTTAGTCTGCACTCAACGGACCCCGATATGTGTGGCCGGGCCCATAAGTAATGGCCTGACCACATTGGCCGTGACGAACAGACGGCTGCGGTGCCCCGGTGACGGACGAGGGTGCACCGCTTGCCACCGCTTCTCCCCTGCCTCACGCCGCGGGGCGTCTGGCCGCTCCCCTCCCCGCCCCACATCTGGGCAGGTCCAGGAAGCGCGCGCGGGGACGGGCTGGCCCGTCGCCGTCCTCGCCCTCGCTTCAGGACGGTTTCAGTCAAAACAGGGTGCGCGCGAGGCGGGCACCCGTGCAGAACGCGGCGTTAACGAGGCGCGAAGGACGGCGCGACGTCTGGACGTCTCGTCTGCGCAGTGGGTGGACTCTCCGGATGCGGGGATTGCAGAGGGGCTCTAAAAAAGCAGACGCTTTGCAGAGCGGTGGTCGGAGTCGGCACGCATCGCTGCGGCCACGCAGGCGATGATGTCATGCGTCTCCTCCCCAGCAGGCCAGAGCCTTCCGCGCTCCGGGCCATCCAGTGGCGGACGACGGCGTACAGTCGCGTCCCGAATGAGCGGACTGGGCCATCCAGTGGGGGACGATGGCGTACAGTCGCGTCCCTCCGCGGACTCGGCCATCCAGTGAGGGACGATGGCGTTCAGTCACGTCCCGAATGAGCGGGCTTGGCCATCCAGTGGGGAACGATGGCGTAGAGTCGCGTCCCGGACGAGCGGGCTCGAAGTATGAATAAACTGCCACCGGTTTTCCTGCTACGCGGAAAGTGTGGCAAATTGTAATGGCATGTCGGTAGTGCGACTGACACGCAAAATATGCATACGTTGCACCACGGGACACGCTGCGTTGAAGCATTATTGCCTATTGAATCAAATTCGGCAGCTCCAGTTTGATATTGAATGCATTCCGAAAAGTACTCCGAGCTGGCACAAAAAGCTTAGACTGGACGCAACACAATTTCGTGAAATGAAGCGGTCAAAGCGTACCTGCATGGTAATGATTATTGATTTCAGGCCTTTAATTGGACACAGTTAATGGCCTGGCACCATGGCCATCCGCTTACAGGTCGCATTAATAGAATACGGCATCATTTCACTTTCATGTAGTATGCTATCTTTCGTGCTTAAACGTTCTACACGTCTGGAGGACTCAACCTCCTTCCCTAACATTATCAAACTTTTATATGGGTGAAGGTGATGGGTGTTGTGTTGAAAGAACCACACACACAGAAGCGAAATCTTGCTTTTTATTCTGGAAACGTTTCACCCCCGATCTTTAGGACTCCAAAAAGGAGGTGATTAATGTAACAAAGCACAATGAGGGATATGCCTCTTACCGGGTCAGCGAGTGTTGTTGAGCAGAGCAGCGCGAACAGTGCGGACACTCTGAAACACATCGGTTCTCCGTCAGTAAACCACAAATGAGCACAGACGCTGTTCATGCGAGGAGCCGAGAGCATAAGGCTTCACCTGGCAGCAGGCACATGCATACGTGAGAGATGTCACCAAACAGTAGGCACATAGCTGGACGATAGTACACGGTGTGAAGAAGCTCCACCAGAACTCACATCTTTCCACATCGTCATCAGCTACAGTAAACACGATATCCCACTTCTCCCAAGGATGTCGCCGAACTTTCATGGAAGTTGAACGGATCACCATATTACAGCGCTCATACCACAGCAACGTATTCAACAGTGTCCAGCTTTCGAAACCGTTTTTAAACGCATACTGGAGCTTGTTGAAATAGCTTGATCAAGTTGAGTTTGCGCAATGGATGGCTTATGCACCACTAGTGAATATTATCCTCAGCAAGTCAGTCGCTCGCTTTATTCGTTATCCCGTGCTCAGTCAGTTTATTTATTCTCTGCTGTCATAAGGGAAACAATCGGGCAGTGTTTGCATATCGGACAGCCACGCTGTCCTCGCATCCTCTCCGGCTAAGGCTGGCTTATTCAAAGCCACTGGATATATATTTTGGTTTGCCTCGACCCCAGCCACGATTAAATAAGCAACTGGCGTCTGGACATTCCAAGCCAATGTAAACGATTTATGGGCCGACTCCGCGGCCGGGCAGACGGACGACACTCATAAGGACGCGCCGCCAGCACCGATGATGTTCAATTTCGGACAGCGTTCGTTCAAGTGGACGTTCCAATGATATGAGATCATATCTGAAAGGCGCTTCCTGCCGGCAGATAGTGGCAAAACTTGAAATGCAATGAAAGCTTCTACTTAATCATCTGCTTCATCTAGGCAACAGTGACATTCTGGCGTAATTGATTAAGGATGCTTGGTGGACCTCCCAAGGGTCTCTCGATGACTTTTTAAGAAAATGTGACCGGGGAAAGAACGCCCGCCAATTTCAATGCGCAGATAAAGCTTCAACACGAACATCGGTTCGGGATTTTTTCAAATGCAAACTTAAAGGGAATGCTTCGCATTTGGAAATATTCAGGTAAGCATCAGGTGTTATGAAATAAGCTCACTTAAAACTATTGGTATACTTCTAAGTGGAAAAGATCACACTACACAACACGACTCCTCTGTTTAGTAAATATACTCCCCAATACGATATGGTTACATTACGTCATCGTAGCTTGCACAACATTGATTCACGGCCAATTGACGGGCGTTATATCTGGAAATCGTGCTCACGAAAGCCAGATATGAACGAGTCAACCATTGTATTTTTATTGGTCTTGATCGCTGCATGGCTAATGAAATACCAGAATTTCAAAGGCATTATAATGACGCCATGGATGCTTGGGTGACCTTGAAATAGTCCCTTCTAAAGAGTCTGCACATCTTCGCGGGCGTGTAGCGGATCACAGAAACCAGAGCGGTTAGGTCTTAAGAAGTGCCGGACCGTGAACTGCATCGAATGGTCTCTAACATGGCTATTTCACCCAAAAAACCATACAATTGTGCAACATTCCCTTTAACTTCGGCTTTAGAGACGTTTCGTTCACTAGGAACAGGCCTGGCTCTCGTATATACTCCTGTGCGAACTTAAGGTTTCAAAGCATATATGGACAGGATTGTATTACAAATAGCACTGATCGTGAGCCCGTGCCCGTTTCCTATGATTTTGAAAACGGTGTTGTATGATGGTACACATGAGACATGTTAAAAATATATTCACCATAAGCCTAAAGAATATGCAAACGCATGACCACGAGATAACCACGTAGCGGCGTGGCGGCAAGGCTTTGGGAACAAAGAACCTAAACAGAGTCGAGGTCTGAATAATGGTGAAATGAGGCCGCGTTGATGGTTTACTTAGCATCCGAATGCACAGTGAGTCCGCCATGTCTTATTTAGTATGTGTGTTATCCGATTACAGTAGTATTAATGTCTTGGTTTCTCATGACGAGCGGCCAAATGAGATGTGGGTACTAGCGTTTTAAGTCTGTGTCTTGGCAAGCGTATCAGTGCCTTCAGAAGGCCTTCGAGGCTGAATCAGCACTTTTGCATTTCACTGTGACTCTGTGGTCAAGTGTGTCGCCGCCATCCATTGCCCCTCCAGCTCACATTTGAAGCCGGGCCCTGGCTGCATTCAGGTGGGCTGGAGTCTAAGCATTGGTTCGAGGCCACCTGTCTGCAAATGGTTAGTCTGATCCCGATTCCGATTCATTAGAGAAGTGGATCGTGTCAATCAAAACCGAGTCACAATACGTGGTGAGTTTGGACATGACTCCAAGTTCGGTGTGGTTCAGAGGTGTTCAGATCAGACAGGCAGCGTCACCCTAAAGTTGATTTATATAATGTTTACATCATTATCTTCCTTCGTTTGCCACTCTTAAGTGTGATCCCTGCACGACTCACTCAGCGTAAAAGACTGAGACCATATCTTACCATTACCAGGATCGGTTCAAACAATATTACAAATACAAACGAAGTCAATATATCGGAGAGTTTCTACAGCAAATCGAAAGAAACGAATTGACTCGTTTGCATCACACCACGCGTGACGTCACGCTTCAACCAATCACCTTTGCTCTCTTTTTCACCGTGTGCAACTCACGGCGTGCATGGGTCAAACCAAGCCTTGCCCGCCCTATGCCGGGATCACACGATATAGCAGCTAAAATGCATCTTCTCACAACTGCATCCCGAACGCACTCCTTTAAAGGTAAGGAACTGAAAACTGGTAGACATTAGTGAGCAGATGATTGTGAATGGCTTTGCGCTTCGACCTGGCTCTCTTAGTCCAAAGCATCCTGTTAAGGTGCAACGTTGCCTTTAAAATCTGAGAAGTGACTTTAGACAGTAGTCGCTCATCACATCAAGCATATACCACGAGCAAAACATTGCATCATCATATTAGCATATCGAGTATAACAATACCCAAAACGGTACATTCATTTTTACACAACCAACACAGCACGATTTGGCTGTACAGAAGTCTTTAAATAAGAGGTGGCTGATGGCAGACTACTCCTTAGGAGTAGGAGTAGGCCAAGGAGTAGTTTTGCTGGTAGGTGAGAAATTTAACATTAACGCCATGGTTTTATGTAAACATAAACATGAAAACCGACTCCACCTTCCACTCTCACGAGGTTTGGCCCCCACTATTCAACCAAATTCATTCATCAAATCGAACCCTAATGCAATCAAAACCCACCAGCTATGAAGGTTTTATATCAAATGGAAGCAATCTCTCTCTCGCATTGCGCAAAGTAACATATCGACCAAACCTGGAAAATATATACGGCACCTCACGGGCTCGGAATGAAAAGTGTCGCCCGCATGACACCAGATTTCCTTCATTCGTTCACAAAACCACCCGCAAAACCTCAAAGCAAATATCAAACATTCCGTGAAAAAATAGGGCTCAGGACCTAAAAAAAGCCTGAGACAGACGCACCCCATAATAACACCACAGGGCTTCGAAAGGCCACACAGGCACGTGGTGAGGGAAAGAGTCGTTGACTTCGCGTCGCTGGCTAGTTTTTTCACATTTGGCGTAGAATGCCATCGAGTGATCCAAGGTTGAGCAGTGCCTATGGTTGCTGCAGCCTAAAAGCAAGTACTTTGCCCATGCAGCCTCGGCTTATGCAATGCGGGGTTCTGTTAATCATTTCCATAGCTGGCCTGGCGATATTTATTTTCTGAGCGTCTGGATGGCCGATGGGCCGATCACGGGATAGAGAGGAATAAATCGCGACTCGACGACCATTTGCGTCGCGTAAAGGATATCTCTCTCTCTCTCCCTCTCTCTCTCTCTCCTCCTCTCTCTTCTCTCTCCTCTCTCTCTCTCCGCTCCTCTTCCTCTCCCCTCTCTCTCTCTCTCCTCTCTCTCTCTCCTCTCTCTCTCCTCTCTCTCTCGTCTCTCTCTCCTCTCTCTCTCTCTCTCTCCGCGACGAGCTGCTTGGATTTAAATGCCTCTTGTTGAAATGTCTCTTGTTGAAATGCGCGGTGGCAGCTACTGCACAAGTGCACGCATATGGGTACCAATACTGCGTCGGAGCAGTAGGCATCAACAACTGAAGAGCCCCAACAATGGTTACAGACATCGACCATTTGCGTTGGCACCCAACAAGCCGTAAGGACAGAACCCTTGCTCTGAATGCGGTGATCGAGAGTGACGTTCAATAACTCCGGAATCGTGCGCACCGTGCTGCACCAAATGTGTATTCGCGAGCGCGCGGTGCCGGACGACTGATGGGGTTGAGCTCGCTCGGTGAGTTGGCACCAGTCCCAGAGCGAGCCTAGCTCACCCACTGGAAGCGTTATGAAACACACCCAGCCTGGAAATGACCAGATGTTTCGCAGAGGGGCAGAGGGTCGGAAAGCGGACACCGGGGACTGCATGCGTGTGCTGGCTGCATGGGGGCTAGTACGGCAGCGCCCAAAATAAATTTGGCGTGCTTAACGCTCTACGATACATTTAAAGGTTGCAGCATAATCAGTAGATCGCAACGCGTGGATGTACCGGTGTTAAAAATTCGAGCGGTAAATTAGGGCGTGCAGACCTGCCAACAAATTCCCTGATAACAGCTAACCGAATCAGTATCTTCGGACACCTCTTCACATAATCTCCACCCGTAATCGCTGA